CACTAGCAAGAATGAGGATGCAAATAGCAAACCCTAGAAGGGTTGTACTCGCTATAGAGCACCCCACTACAGGCTAGAGCACAAGATAACATTCTGACACGGGTTACCACCAGATTCGCGTAGTTCCAGAGGACCAGCACAAGACGGCGTTCCTAACGAAGCACGGGTTGTACGAGTTTAGGGTTCTACCGCTCGGATTGACCAACGCCCCAGCGACGTTTCAGACGCTCATGAACACCGTCCTCTCCGATTTCCTAGGGTCGTTCGTTGTAGTTTACCTGGATGACATCCTAGTGTTCTCTAAGACGAAGGAGGAGACGTGCATTACTTGCAGAAGGTCTTTGAAGTCTTGAGGAGGGAGCAGTTGTACGCGAAGCAGTCGAAGTGCGATTTCCTCCTCCTGGAGGTCGAGTTTCTAGGTCACGTCGTTTCCGCTAGTGGCATTAGGACTGACCCGAAGAAGATCGCAGCAGTACAGGATTGGATAGCACCGACCTCAGTTAAGGAACTGCTGAGCTTCCTCGGTTTCGCGAATTACTACCGTCGTCTCGTTCAGGTTTACGCTTCCATTGCTAGTCCACTCACCGACCTACATCGGAAGGGCGTAGAGTTTCTTTGGGGTCCAGCGCAGCAGCAGGCGTTCGAGCAGATGAAGCAGACGCTCACGTCTTCACCGACACTGTCGTACCCTGATCCCACTCGTCCATACGTTGTAGTGACCAACGCTTCAGATCAGGCCATAGGAGCAGTGCTTCTTCAGGACCAGGGACGCGGGTTGCAGCCGATCGCGTACGAGTCGCGTAAGCTTAGGGGAGCGGAGTTGAACTATCCCATACACGACAAGGAGGCGCTTGCGATCATCCATGCGTATAAGGTGTGGAGGTGCTACCTAGAGGGGGCAGATAGTGTGATACGCACGGACCATTGCTCGCTTCGCTTTCTCAAGTCACAACCGCAGCTGAGTCGTCGCCAGGCTAGATGGATGGAGTTCATGGAGGGGAGTTTTCACTACAGGATAGAGTACAAGCCAGGCGTTCGCAACCCAGCAGATCCGCTCACTCGCCCTAGTTGCCAGCTTGCTAGTCTCAGAGTCACTGCCGGCCATCCACTTCTCACAACACTCTTCGAGCACGGTTACACAGTAGATCCCGACTTCACACCACAGCCACCCGCAGGAGCAGAGGTGCATGGTAGTGTCTACATACGGAAGGGTACCACACAGATTTGGGTTCCTGCCTACCGCCCTCTTCGACAGCTCTTTCTCTCAGAGGCGCACGACGTAGTTAGTGCAGGGCACTTCGGAGCAGATAAGACGACTAAGACGCTTAGTCGCACGTACTTCTGACCAGGGCTTGCAGCAGACATAGAGGATTACATTCGCTCGTGCGACAGGTGTCAGCATACGAAGTCCTCGCCAGCGCAAGGCAGGACTTTTGCAGCCGATTCCACCACCCGACCGCCCTTGGCAGGTAGTTACGATGGACTTCATCATGGCTTTACCGCGCACAGTTAGGAGTCACGACGCCATCTTCGTGGTAGTGGATAAGTTTTCTCGAGCAGCGCACTTCATCCCCACGCACGGCAAGGTCACAGCAGAGGAAGCCGCGACGCTGTTCGTAGATAACGTAGTCCGACTGCACGGGGTTCCAGATTCCATCATCTCAGACCGCGACCCTCATTTCACTTCGAAGTTCTGGAAGCAGCTTTTCGCACTGTTTGGGACTCGCTTAGCCATGTCGTCTGCGTACCATCCAGAGACAGACGGACAGACCGAGCGTGTGAAACAGACCTTGGAGCAGATTCTTCGCAGTATCACGATGCACGACGCAGCCGCATGGGACAAGAAGCTGAGCATGGCTGAGTTCGCCTACAACAACACGCACCACTCGTCCACAGGCATGTCACCGTTCTTCGCACTATACGGTCAGCACCCCAATGTCCCCACTCATGTCGATCTCACACCCACAGTCCCTCGTGCGGACAACTTCCACCAGCATCTCACCTTCATTCATGATCACATGAGGAAGCACCTTGAGCTCGCAAATGCACGCATGGCACGCACCACCAACCGCAGTCGTCGTGAGGTGTCGTTTTCAGTTGGCGACCGTGTCCTTCTCGACAGCCGCAACCTCCGATTGCCACAGGACAGCAAGCTTCGCCCTCGTTTCATTGGTCCATTCGTCATTGAGCGCGCACTAGGTCCAGTCGCATACCGCCTTCGCCTTCCCGCTCATTTCCGCATGCACCCGTCATTCCACGTGTCGCTTCTTCGTCCTTACACCGATCCCAATGCCACCTTCTCGGGCCGTGACCGCACTCCACTGCCGGTAGCTGTTGACACCGACGAGCCCGACTACGAGATCTAGCGCATCCTCAGGCACCGTCACTGTCTCCAGGTGGGTGTCACTTTCATCGACTTCTTGGTTCGTAGGCGTGGTTACGACGCAGCAGACGACAGCTGGGTTCCTTCGTCCTCGCTGTCTCCCGACAACGCTTGCCTCCAGGCGTACCTCCAGTCTGCAGGCGCCGCGGACGTCGGCTCCTTGGGAGGGGGTAGTGTTAAGGGGGGATTTACTGTTCATTCCGAACAGTACTTTCCAACTCACCCTTATCCTTATCTTCCTTGATTTCCTAGTGCCACGTGGCACTCTACTTTTCTTGGCTTCAATTCCTAGTCCCACGAAGTACTTTCCGACATTCGATCTTGCATGTTATATCAACCTTGCTTGTACTTGCCATTATCAATCAATTCTCGTTCAACTCTTTCATTACTCAGTAACTCTTTCGCATATTTCGCCAATAGTTCTTTCTCCAAAGTCTTATGCCGCGTTTTCATCCTCGACTTAGTCTACCCCGCTAATTCTTTAGCGGACTTAGGCCGTCGGGCCTAACACCTGTTATGGAGATTCTTCCTAGTGCAGTACGATGTCCTACTGACAGAATGAAGAGTTTGTGTCCAGTGAGGCGTGTCCATGCCACCCCTGCCCGAGGTCAGCGAATAGGAGCGGTTGGAGCTTTAGCCGGGCAGCTAAGGTGGCACAAGTGTTGGACGAAAGGGCACCAGGTTCTGGGAAGTCACGCAATAAACTTATGTTTCGCTGCCCGTGAATCCATCACTCGTTCCTGAATCCTTCCCTCCAAATATTTCCCGCCTGTCCCTCCTACCCGACGGGCCCCATCACCGTCTGACAATAAAGATCACGATTCATGTCTGCGAGGTTTTGTTCACCCTGCCATCTCGAATCTCGACCAACGTCGGGATCTCCGCTCCCCAACTGCTAAGTACACTTAGTCCCATCCTTCCCGGGTGAATCCTTCAGCGATACGTCCTTAGGAAAGCCTGCTCCATTTCCCACTCTAGACAGACCCGGAGCCGCTACATGGCTCCTAATGCCATGTCGCAACCATCGCAGCCCTCATCAGCCGGAAGAGCTTCCGGCAAGCAGGCGGTTCCGTTCAAGCCGGATCTGACGAAGCCGTTGGTGTTCCAGGTGGGGTATCTGGGGGAGCACTACGACGACTGGGTGCACCAACCCATCATCAGCAGAACGGGACCGCGCCTCTTCGGGCCGGACTGGATGGAGTTCTTCACGCAGACGCACTGGTGGATGATCCCGCTCGTCTGGCTTCCCGTCATCGCCTTCGCCGAGTACCGCGCCGCGCTCGCCGGCACGCCCAAGGTTCTCGTCGCGCCGTTTTTCGCGCTGGGGCTGGTGGTGTGGACGCTGATGGAGTATAGTCTACACCGCTTCTTATTCCACTACCGCACGACGGGCTATTGGACCAACACGCTGCACTACCTGCTGCACGGCTGCCACCACAAGCACCCGCAGGACCGCTTTCGCCTCGTCATGCCGCCTGTGCTCTTCGCGACGCTGTCCACCGTGGTAGCGATACCGTTCTTCGTGGTGTTCCCGGGGTTCCTGGTGTGGCCCGTGTACGCGGGAGCCATCTTCGGGTACATTTGCTACGACATGACGCACTACTTCGTGCACTTCGGCGTGCCGCTCGAGCTCGAGTGGATCCGCTTCCTGCGGCGCTACCACATGGCGCACCACTTCAAGGTGTACAACGCGGGATTCGGCATCACCAACTCCTTCTGGGACAAGGTCTTCGGCACCTACCCCGCCGACGACCCCAAGAAGGCGGACGCGGCCAGCAAGGCGGACGCGGCGGGCAAGGCAATGTAGGGTTGCTGCCGCCCTGTAGATTGATTCACGGTTCGGGTGCTGCGGTAGGTTTTCTATTTCTAGGCTGAAATAGTGATTCCCCGAGTGCCAATGGTTCAGAGATGAGCATAGGATGAACATAAATGGCTGTTGCTAGCCTGTACTCTACATGATCTATGCGTGTGTCGTTTGTGCCAGGCCTGTCGGCCATTGTTGATGCTCTGCACCCCTTTTTCCACACCCAGCTGGTACGGGGCATGGCCCTTTCAGAGGCTCCCATGTTCCCAAACCATAAGGATACTACGCTTTTAGGCTCTGTGCTGGTAGCCCCGGATTTGATGAGAATTAGAGTGCTGTGCATTGCTCTACTATGCATCTTTCAAAGCTGGATCATGTCACTTCCAAAGTGGGCATTTTCTGTTCGGGTTATTAGTTGAAGGTCGATCAGTTGCGTTGCAGCCAGGAGAGTTGAATGTGAAATTTGGCTTCAGTGGGCACTGTGTTGCTCTAGATTTGAACGATTTTCTTTCTGCTACCTATACACATTAGAAGCTACAGTAGTCTACCAAACAATGGACCCTGCCAACCGACCAGGTTGGCACTGCAACCACTCCTGCAAGCAGGCAAGTCAGACAAGATCAGAAGCCAATTATATCGCGCAACGCAAGGAAGGCCGGCACGGCTTCTTGGTCGAATTTTCTGGCAAAGAGAAAGCAGTGTGTGGGCCGGCCTGCCACTGTGCATGGCCGTGAGGGCGACTGCTTGAGGTAGCCCACTGTTTCAGCTGGTGGGAATCGACTCCGCTGCAACACAGCAAGACAACCGGACGGATCAGTTGAAACGGTCAAGACAGAACCAAAAGGCACAGACAGGACTCGTCAAGGACTGGCAGGCAGGTGAAGAGATGGAGGGGTGGGGACGTACTTGCAAGGAGAGGATGAATTCCCTGGTGACTTGACTCGTGCTGTAGCTCATGGGGTGGCTGGACGAGGACGTGAACCAGTGCACGTACAGCACACTGCGCGGCTCCACCGCCTTCCGGTCCAGCATCTGAACGGCGGAGAGGACAGGCAGGAGGGAGAGAGCAGCAGGCAATGGTGAGGAAGGCAGCGCGTTTCAGTTAACTTCAAGTGCAGAGAACGACAGCAAGTCAGGAACGTGCGAGGTGTGGGGTGACAGTGGGCTTAGGAGCTTACAGCAAGGATGGTTTGAATGTAGCTCTCGTCGGGAATCTGCAAGCAGCGCACAGGCAAGACACGCATGGAGAGACCGAGGGCAGAAAGAATGCGAGTGTAAGCAAGCAAGCTAGTTTGGGTGGAGGGAAGGGCGAGGCTCAAAGGCGAAATGGGCGATGATGCAGCGTGGGAGTGGGGAACATGTGAGAGGCGCATGGGGGCAGTGGGGCGCACCTCAGCGTTGGTTTTGACGAACGTCTCGTAGAACTTGCTGTCCTCCACCACCTTGGCTGCATGCGCTCGCGTCAGCGCGAACCACTGCACACGTACACGCGCATGGAAGGTGGGCGGGAGGGGAACAGGTGTAAGCCACAGGGGAGGGATAGTCAAAGTTGAGCCGCAGCAGAGGTGCCTGTTGAGTCGACTCAAATGGTCAAACAGAAAGGAGCTCACAGCAACAAGCCTACAGCCCAAGCGCCTCACCTGCGCCCCCCAAGCGCCTCACCTGTGCCCCCAAGTCCCTCAACTGTGCACCCAAGTGCCTCACCTTCGCCCCCCCAGCGCCTCAACTGTGCCCCCCACGCGGCTCACCTGCGATCCCTTTTTAAAGTCCTGGCCCTTGATGACCGGCGCCATCTCCTTGCGGTACCGCCACACGCTCGCGTGGCTGCTCGCGCGCACGGGGAAGGGAGGGGAGAGGAGGAGGATCGGGAAGGCGAGGTGGACAGGGGAGAGGACAGATGGTTAGCCGGAGGGACAAATGGGTGGAGCAGAGAGCATTAGCGCGGATGAGAATCAAAAGAGCAAGGTGAGAGAGGTGAGGCGGGAAGAGAGAGGGATTGTTTGTCACGTACTTTGGTTCAAGAAGATGTATATCCTTTGTTTTTCCTCGTCTTTTCGCACGCTACGACTTCACACAAGCTGGCTACGGTGCGCTACCTCGTAACGAAGCATACCTTGTAACGAAGCTCTTGTCGGAGGCCATGAGGTAGTCGAAGACGTGCGTGAAGTTGAACAGCGGCAGACACCTGCGCCAACCGCGGCGAGGTGCAGCGGCGAGCAGGGTGGGGAGGGAGGCGAGAACAAACAGGGGGCGGCGGGAAGGGGGAGGGAGGCGAGGAGGGAAGCATTGAGGCGGTATGCTTGGCACATGCGCTTATCATCCTAAGCCTGCCAATCGGCTGGTGACACGTGCTAAGAGAGCGCGCTACACTAAATATCAATCCGCGAGAACTTCGCCACGACTCCCTCCCCACCCTCCCCCGCAAGGAGCACAACTCCACCCCCTACAATCTCCACCCCTTTCCCGCACTCACGACTCCGACAGCAGAACGAAGCGCTGGTTGGCGGGATCCGCAAGCGCCGCGGCGAGCAGCCGGCGCTCCGCGCGGATGAGGTTGGGACCGCCCCACGTGATCTGGAGAGGGGGAGTGGGGGGATGGGGCGCGGAGAGGAGGGAGAGTGAGGAGGAACGCGAAGGAGTACGGAACACGACGGGGCGAGGCAAGGCAAGACGGTACATGACACGAGTGAAGTGGTTCCATGATGACGCGCCACTTCGAGCACTACTGGAAGCGAGAAACGCGAGAAAGTGGACGGAGAACCTGCCGTGGGGACGCCTGGCAGACGAACTCCGGCGAAGAGAGGGGCCTGCGGAATAGCCGAGAGTGCGGGCGGGCTTACAGGAACGCTGGGTATTTGGCGGCCGCGAAAGACGGAAGAGTTGACGTGCTTGTCGCATTCGTAATCGGCGGTGGAGGCGTGGATGTAGATGGAGTAGCGCCCCTCGTGGCCCTGCCGCGCGCACATTGGGGGGCAGATGGTACGCGGAGTGAGGGAGACACGGAGAGAATGAGATAACGGCGAGCGGAATAGCACGATTATGGCGACGAGACGGGTTCTCCGCTCGGTGCCGTGCCTCATAAGTGAAACCTAGCTTAAAACCGGTGGAATGGAGTATGCGAAGTCCAAACAACAATCCCTGGAGCAGTGACTGAAGGCGGGCATTTAATGCCACGCACACGAGAACTAGCATCGCCGCCACCACACGATCGCAGAAGCTGCGAGGCGGAGAGGCACGCGCTGGCACACCGCGACCCGAAAAAAAAAGAGAAAAATATGCGAAGGCGGATAGGCGGCTAACACCAAGGTGCGATAGGGAAGAATGTTGTCGCGATTGTCGCACAAGCAGAGCCACGCGCACCTGGAAGAATCTTTGCCAGACTCGCTCGAGCGGAAGCGGTCCTCTGACGAGAAAGAGGAACGCGATCTTGGGCTGCACGGCCGCGAGATCCGTCTGCGTGGGCTGCTCCATGGCTCGCCGAAACATGTCCTGATCCACCGCGTCGATGTTCCCCGTGTCCCACTCCGTCCGCGCCTCCGACCCGCCGCCTACTACCAGTAACCCCAGGTACACTACCCCGGTGGCTATGAGTAGATACGACACGTTGATCACTAACATCGACCAAATGCGAGCCCGCGGGAATCGGAATGACACACGCAATGCCATGGTTTGCTCTGCCTGAAGTGGGCTGTTAGACGCGTGGTTAACAAAGGCTGAAGCTGAATAATCTCAATAGACAGTTTTGGTGGTTTTTTCAAGAACTTCAGTTAGGAGCAAACGGTGGACGTGGGTCAGGGACACGTGGCTGGCAGAGAGTGAGGTAAAACTGCTTATCTAGGTGGCGAAGCTGCAAGATATTACTCCCTGAATCAGGTAAAACTGCTTATTTAAGTGGCGAAGCTGCAAGAAATTGTCCTCTAGAACACATTCATGAAAGATGCACCAGTGGCGAGTCGTGAGGTATAAATTGCTAATATACCTGGCCAGGCTGGTGAGCAGTGATCAGAAATGTGTTCATGAACGATGGATGCACTGGTTGCAGTGGGTGGAGCAAAGCAGCTGAGCGTTTACCACCCGAGACTGAGACGAACTTGGGACACTGACCAGTGGGAGGAGGGAAGAAGAGGAACAGCGAGGCGTAGAGCAGAGAGAGCTGCGTGGAGTTGGGGGAGGAGGGGCGGGCGAGGCGGGTGATGTGGGTCAGGCGGGTGCCAGGTGTGCACGCCTGACTACACTTTTGCCGCCGCTTCTGACTGGCCTCGGGTTTGGTTGGTCATTCCGGTCCGCTGATTGCCCTCGGGAATGCCGCCACGGCTGTCTCTCCGCCCTTGCGGTGGCGCACGGCGCTGCTCCAGCAGAGCATGATCAGCCTTAGCGCTCACGGATAGCGCGCGCGTGAGTTCCAGGCGGACGGCGGCGCACTCCTATAATTGCGTGTCCATTGCGCGAATGGGGATGCTTCCTTCCCTGCCTAGGCAGACCCACGAACGAGTCAGCTTCGGCACTCCCCTTACCCCGCACTGCTTCCCTTCCTTCCCTGCAACAGCATCCTCCGCGGTGCTGTTCCCCCATGCGGACCCTTTCGCAAGGACGACCAGCAGAGACTGTTCCAGCCCCGGGGGACTTCTCTGCCAGACTTCGGGGTCACCGCTGTTCCGAGCCAATCAAATTCAACCGAAGTGGAAAGCCAGGCAAGTTTTAGGTTCGGTGGCTTATATGGGACGTGGTTGCGGGGACGGGGGGAGTTTTGGTTGGGCAAGTCGGTATTGGCACACACGTTTGTGAAGTCTTATTGTACGCGGTCAGCGGGAGATCCCGAATGTGCGGCCCAGCAGGGCAGAGGACGTTCCCAAGGTGATGGAATGTTCCGCACGGTGGAAAACCCGCCCCTGCTACATCTTGGTCGTTCAGTTCTATCGGAACTAGACTTCCTAATACGCGTTACAAATCACGACTCACATTTATCTGTTTCTGAATCAACTTTCGCGAGCAACTAAAATCAGGAATGGCTGCTTAACTAGAATTTAAGACATGATGTACAATTAGTATCCAGACCCATAATAACCTCCTGGAGGAGGTCCTGCACCTGGTGCCCCCGCATTTGGACCTTGCTGCCCGCTGCCATAACCAGAATAATAGCCTGCATTGGCTGCACCAGGGGCAGGTGGTTGCTGGTAACCGTTTGCTTCATACGACTGGTACTGCCCAGCACCTGGCGCTCCTGCCCCAGCTGCCCCTGCACCTGGCGAAGGGTTGGCACCGGGGGGGTACTGCTGCTGGTGCTGGTGCTGGTGTTGCTGTTGCTGGTGATAATTGTAGCCAGGAGCAGCGCCCCCTGCTGGTGCTGCACCAGGAGCAGAGTACCCACCGCCATAAGCCTCGGGATGGGGTGCAGGCTGGATCCATGCACTGCCAGCAGGGGGAGCAGCAGCAGAAGAGTTGGACGTAGGGGCCAAGTAGCCATAACCTGGGTTCTGGCTGTACTCGTTTGCTCCACCCTGCCCTCCGTAGCTGTGCTGTGCGCCCTGCTGCTGCTGCTGCTGCTGCTGCTGCTGCTGCTGCTGCTGCTGCTGCTGCTGCTGCTGCTGCTGCTGCTGCTGCTGCTGCTGCTGCTGCTGCTGCTGCTGCTGCTGCGGCTGCTCCTGTGGCGGAGGCTGCTGCTGGTACTGCTGCCAACCCTGGTTGCCAGTCTGCTGCTGCCCATAGCCCTCATAGCCGTACCCCCCTCCTCCCTGACCCACTCCCTGACCCTGTGGCACCGCCTGAGCCTGTACCTGACCCTGGGGTTGCACCTGACCCTGGGGTTGCACCTGACCTTGCGGCTGCCCATGGGCTTGAGATGGCGCCTGCTGCTGTGGCTTCTGGGGCTGTTGCTGCTGGGGGCGGGGCTGAAGCTGCGGCTGCAGTGGGGGCCGGGGCTGGGCGGGGGGAGGTTGGAACTGGTGGGGGTGCTGCTGGCTGAGCTTGAGGTACACCTGGGCGCGCTGCTGTGCCTGCCGCGACGACAGGCTTGAGGTCAGCGCTGTGAACCGCCCGCGGATCTCCTCCATGCGCTGCCGGGGGGAGGGGGGGGGGAAGGGTAGGGGACAGAATGGCGGGCAGAGAGAGGATGAGGAGGAATGTGTGGTTGAGAGAGGCAACTGGACCTGCGGCTTCAAGGTGAAGCACATAACACAACCTCAACCTACCATCTACACCAAGGACATAACCCTCCACCACACAATCCCTTCCCCCTCACCGTTCCCTAACTTCCCATCCCCACCCACCCCCCCACCCTCTCTCTTCCCCCATCGTTTCCCCCGTCGCCTCCCATCCAGCCATGTGCGCACCAGAGTGTGGCGGTCCGTCTCCTCCTTCTCCTCGCGCGCCTGCGCCTGCTGCAGCGCGCTCGCCTCCGCCGCCACCACGGCCTCTAGCTCCTCCACGGACGACGGCAGCGGGCCCTGCGGCGGCAGCTGCAGCATCGGCATGCCTGGCGGGTGGAGGGGATGGGTGTACGGGCGGGGCGGCAACGGGAGGGCGCGGGGGATGAGCGGAGCAGCGCAGAAACGGGACGGCGGGGAAAGGAGAGAAGCAATTGGCTGTTCATCAGCAATAAGTCGATGAGAGGTAAGAGCGTGCAGCAGGCCATAGCTATGGCTATGTTCATGCCTATAAATATGACTTTGGCTGCGGCTGTGGCCAATGCCATACATGCACGCACTCACCTGCACCACCCATACCACTCGATTCTACCTGTCCCCCATACGCGCCCATGGCGCCCCCAGGCAGCATCGGTCCCATTGGTCCCATCGCCCCCATCGGCCCCATGGGGCCAACCGCGCCCATCCCCCCCATGGGCCTCACTGCGACCAGCGGCCCCCCATCCGCCGCCATCCCCGCTGCGCCCACCATCGCTCCGCTTGCCTGCCGCTGCGCCTCGAGCTGCGCCGCGATCAGCCTCAGCGTCGCGTCCTCCGCCTCCCCCCCAATCACCATCTCCGCCTCCCCCGCCGCCTCCGCCGTCGCCGCCGCCCACATGCGCTGCTGCTGCTGCAGCTGCTGCTGCGCGGGGTCGTGCGCCAGCGCCGCCAGCGCCATCTGCACTGCCGCCGGCCCGCCCAGTATCCCGCCGCCCTTCCGCAAACTATCCAATTGCAGCTGCTCAATATACTCGCGCACCACGCTCTCCCCCGCCGCGAGCGTGTCGCGATCGGTCGCAGAAATCTTAACGATAAACGCGCCGTCGCCGACGGCGAGATCGTCTTCGAGCTGGATGCGGCAGTTGGTCTGCTTCTCCAGGCCCTGCACCACCATGCCCGCCGTGCCGATTATCCGCGACCGCATGCGCCGGTCCGCCACCCCGATGCTGATTGCGAACGGGTGCGCCGCGGACGGCGCATGGCGCTTTCCGCCGCCCCCCCGCCCGCCCCCCTCCCCGCCAAACCCTCCACCTCCGCCCCCGCCGAGGGTGGTGGGGCAACCCTGAAGGAGGAGTCGGGAAAAGGATCCGATGGGAGTAAATCAGAAAGTTGCGGTGAACGGAGGGAAAGTTAGGGTTTTGAACGAGGCGCGGATGCTATCAGTGCGCTACGCCTCAGTCTAATCGGCACGACGACTCGCCAGGGCCTGCGGCGGTAGCGATAATAGCGATGTATGACGACGTTTAACGACGCTTACGACAGCCTTGGTCAGTGAATACCCTTCTTTTTATTTAACATAGCGTTTAAGACGCCGAGATCCCTATCAATGTCGGCCCGCGGCGCTTCGACCTTCCGCAAACTCCCCCCTCCACTCTATCCCCCTAATTCCCTGCGCAGCTCCGCCTCCGCGCACCTGAGTGGGGTGCCCCGCCTCTCCGCAGATCTTGCATGTGAGGTCGTCTTCGCGCCGCTTCTTCCAGTTGCGCTCCGCCGCCTTCGCCTTCGCCTCCCACGCCTTGCTGTACTTCCCACCGAAATCTGTCGGTACGTCCGTCCCCGCATCCTCGCGCTGCCTGCCGACCTCCGCATCGTCCCCGCCCTTCCGCTTCTCCGCCTTGACCGCCGCGTGCGCCTGCGCGGGCGCTGTGTAGCCCTTGGCGTAGACGCTCTTGAAAAACTCGTCGTCGTCGCCCTCGCCACCCTGCACACCGGCCATCGCGCCGGTTTAGCTGGCCTAGCGGGTGCCGAGTAGCAACGGTGGCGGAAACAGGAAACTTTGAAACGGGAAAGTGATTGAACCCGCTTTTTGGACGCGTGATGTACCGTAATCCCCCGTATAAAGGATCCAGTAGATAGGATAGGATCTGTTAAGTCTGAGAGGAGACATAGAAGTCTCTGTAGTGACCTTGTTGAATAATAATTGAAAGAGAACAACATGATTTGAAAGATAGGAGTACAAGGGATTAAATAGAAATCTAGCTAGCCATGTACTCTGAGGGGTACATTCTCTTATTAACTGTATTGCATGGCTACAGTAACCGCGACTATTGCTATCCTCGACAGTTACCATGTTGTAGTGAATTAACTGTCGCGCGGTTACTGGATCGTCAAAGGTCACGATCGTTGACTTCCTCAGACGGTTGACCTTCGGGTGACCCTCGACATTCCGCGTGCTCTATATGAGCTATTGCGGCATTGGTACAGTGGAGCAGCTTCGGGAATGCTTTATATAACCTTTCGGTTGTTTCAACACTCCCCTTCATTCCTGAAGGTGGGCCATGTGGGATTTATTGGCGATCCCGCATAGGTCGGTGCAGCGTTGGTACTGTTGACGTGGCAGTTTCTTCGTCAGGAAATCAGCTGCCATGTCACCAGTCGGGCAGTACGTCAGCTTGACTTTCCCTTGGTCAATTTCATCCTTCACGAAGAAATAGCGAAGGGCGATGTGCTTGGTGCGGTTGACGAAGCCGGACTTGTTCGCGATCTTTATCGCGCTCTGATTGTCGCAGAGTAACGTGAAGTGCCCGTTCATCGTCACTTTCGCCTCCTACAGGAGCTCTATCAGGTACAGTCCTTCGCGAACAGCTGCGTTGGCTGCGATAATTCTACTTATGCTGACGAAAGAGCGATGAGTTCCTACTTCTGAGAGTTCCTGGAGATGAGTCCCGCTGGTTGGAGTTGGAAAATGAATCCTGTGCGGGAGCGTCGGTTATCCAACGTGGTCGGCATCTACGTAGCCATGGAGCTATAGAGTAGCGGTGAGATTAGCTTCGTAGGTGAGACCAACGTCGGGAGTGGAGATGAAGTACTGTAGTGCTCGGCGTAGATCTAGTAGATTCTCCCCTTCAGGTCGCTTCAGGTACTGTGCGAGTTGGCTTGCGACGTAAGAGAGATCGGGCCGGCACGTGACGGCGGCGAATAGGAGACATCCCAGCTGCTGCTGATAGAGACGATGGTTGTCGGGAGAGAGAGGTGTGGTGTCTGGCTCGTGGGTAGGAGGAGGAGTGCGATAAGGGGTGGTGAGGTTGATCGGTGCGATGGCGAATCGCTTCGCGAGTGTTTCGGCGTACTTGGCGGCGGAGAGGTGAATGGAGGATGCGGACAAAGTCATATTGAGGCCGAGAAACTGGGAGACGTTGTGGTTTACTGTCACCTCCAGCTTCTTTTTTATAACAGCCTCAAACTGGTCCAGCAGCTCCGTGTCGTCGCCGGTGTAGAGAAGGTCGTCGACGTAGGCGACGAGGAGGATAAATTTCCCGCGCGATTCTCGCCTGTACATTCTGAGATCGTGCGGCACCTGATTGAAGCCGAGCTCAAGGAGGACGGAATGGAGGTACTGCTGCCACAGACGAGGTGCCTGCTTGATTCCGTAGAGGGATTTTTGGAGGAGGCACACAGCGCCATCGTTTTCTTCGAATGCGTGCGGTTGCTCGACGAAGATTATGGCATCGACGGGGGCGTATAGGAAGGCGCTGCCGACGTCGCTTTGCCTTAACGGTCGCTGTTTGATGGCGGCGATGCAGAGAAGAATCCGCACCGAGGTGTGGCGGCCGACTGGAGCGTAGGTGAGAGTGAAATCCACCAGGTGCGTTTGTTCAAATCCCCGTACCACCCAACGCGCCTTGTATTTGCTGACCGAGCCATCTGCGAGAGTTTTAATGCGGAAAACCCATTTTCCGCTGAGAATTTTTCTCCCCTTTGCCGATGACCGAGGGACTAGTTTCTAGGTGCCACGTTTCTTCAGCGACGCGATTTCGGCGGCCATGGCTGCTCTCCATTTTTCACTGTCGGGGCTAGACAGGGTTTGGCGAACTGTGGTTGGTTCCTTGGGCGAGGTGTGGCGAACAGCGACGACGAGGCCGAGAACACGGAGACCGGTTTCGTAAGTCTTTTTGTAGTGAAGTCGGTCGTAGTCATGGAAGCTGGTAACTTCCACCACGTCGTCATCGCTGTCTTGGCGAGGCAAAGGCTGTCCTGGGACGTGTTGGGTTGTGGTAACTCGGCATCAGGCGATCTGCGCGCCTCACTGTTGTAGTCATGAGCCTCGCTTGTTATATCGTCAGGATTGGGTTGGTGTAGAGGTACGAATATCAGAGTCCCGAATTGGCTTGTGAAGGGGATGCTCGGAGCGGAGTCCATTGGGGTGATATCAGGTGCGTCGACATCCTCGGCCAGGTCAGTTTCGTCGTGTGACGTGGCGAAGCCGCGGTGGCCCTTGAAGAGCCTCTAGGGCAGTTTGTCGGCTTCCTGGTGCTCCTTGAAAAGGGGCAGAGTTAGCTTCTCGTAGAAGATGCAGTCACGTGATTTCGTCACCTCGTGTGTTGCGTAGTCCAGCACGATCCACGCCTTGAATTCTTTTTCGATCCCGAGGTGGATGCCCCATCGTGCCCAGTCAGCAAATTTTCCGGTTCTCGCAGTGTGGGGTCTGTACTGTACCATGCAACCAAACACCCGAAGCAGGCGTGTATCTGCTTTTCTGCCCATCCATGCCCGGTAGGGAGAGTTGTTGTTCTCGAGGCTTCGCGAGGACAACAAGTTGTGCAGCCGAACAACGTGATTCATCGCAAACGGCCAGTATTTTGTTGGGATGGCCGACTGCTTCATCAGGGCCCTCATCCCCGTGGCGAGGCTTCTGTTTGTCCGTTCTGCTACTCCTTGCTGTTGGTGAGCGTAGGTCAGGGACACCAGGTGCTCCATCCCCTTCTGCTTGAGGAGCTCCTTGAACTCGTCTGAGAAGAACTCCAGTGCTCCGTCCGTCTGCCAGATTTTGAGTTTGAGACCGGACTGTCGCTCAGCCCGCTTCATCCACGCAATGAAGCACTCGAAGGACAGAGACCTGCTGTCGGTGTTGACGGCCCAGACGTAGCGCGTAGATGCGTCGATGAAGGTAAGTGTGTACTGCTCCCCGTCGAGCCTGTGAGGATCTAGGATCGAGCTCATAAAAGAGAATTGTAATTGAATTGAATGCTCACCTGGGTACAACACAAGGCTATATATAGGCTCGACACAAGGCCCCGTAACCAGGTGTTACGCAAAGGTTCCGCGGGTCGCGAAGCGTCCCGAACAGATCCTCCCGAATTCGGTAGAAGGCAATTTGGTGGCAACCAAAAAGCCAGAATTCGGTGCACGCAACCTAGCTCGGTGCTATAACTATAATAAAATATAGGAAAGCACCTAGACTAGGAAATCAAGCAATTCATGCATGCATATAATTATCCTATGCTAGAAATAGCATGATAAAGTAAAGGCAAGCAAGCATAGCTAGCATAAGCCGTCGTACTCTCACACGTCCCCATCTCAAAGCTGGGTGGCGTGAGATACACCATGCTTGACAAGATAGTCCTTGAGAGCACGCTGTGCGTTGCCCATATCAGATTCTGCAACCCAACTATCTTCAGTGGGGTCGTATCCCTTCCAGCGTATCAGGAAATCGAGGGCCTTGCCGCTGCGGCGCCGATGAGTGAGAACGCGCTCGATCTCGTACTCGGGTTCATCCTGTATGAGAACAGGTGGTGGGGGCGGTAGTTGCCGTCCCTGGAACTGTTGGTTGGGGTCCTTGTAGGGCTTCAGTAGCTGAACATGGAAAGCATTGTCAAGCTTCCATGTATCTGGTAAGCGCAAGCGGAATGTAACTGGTGTCATCTGTGCCTCAACGAGAAAAGGACCACAGAAGCGAGGCCGGAGTCTGGATGGGAGGTGAGACAGGTTCAAGTTGCGTGTGTCAAGAAGCACCTGATCTCCGACTGCTACTTAGAGATGACGTCGCTGACAATCGGCATACTGCTTCTGGGAGGTCTGCATCGTGGTGAGTCGTCGCTGAGTCTTCTCCCATAGCTGTTGCATGGTGGTGACGAAGTCATGTGCGGCTTGGACGTGTGCCGGTGTGGTTGGCTGCTGTGGTGTGAGTGGTTCCCGTCCGTAACACAAGAAGAAAGGAGTTTTCCCTGTGGCCGGATGTGATGCGTTGTTGTAAGCGAACTCTGGGGTCGGTAACTGTGTGTCCCAGTGGCTGACGTCGTCCTTGCAAGCCGCGCGTAGTAACTGTTCAACCACTTGATTGAGTCGCTCTGTCTGTCCGTCAGTCTGGGGGTGGTATGCTGAAGATATTGCAAGCATAGTCCCCAACAATCCCATGAGCTCCTTCTAGAACTTACTAGTGAATTTGGGGTTTCTGTCTGAGATGAGTGTAGCGGGGATGCCGTGAATGGTGATGATGCGGTCGAAGAAGAGGCGAGCAGTTGCTTCAGCTGTAGCTGTGGCGTTGGTCGGTATGAAGTGACCCATTTTGGAGAACTTATCGATGACTACGAGGATGGAATCGTGCCCCTGTGAGGTCGAAGGAAGTCCTGTGATAAAGTTTTTGGCTAACGACCTGCCATGGCTGCTCCAGTATGGGTAGAGGCTGAAGTAACCCTGCTTTTTTTTGCTTGCTGCTCTTCATCCGCTGGCACGTGTCGCATGAGGTGACGAACTGCTGCACGTCTGCTGCCATCCGAGGCCAGTAGTAATACTTCGCTATCCCTGCTAACGTCTTGTTGCTCTCGAAATGTCCCGCGTAAGGTACGTCGTGAAACTCCTCCAATAGGATCTGCCGTAGCAGGGCGTAATTCGGTACCCAAATCTTTCCTGAACCCTTCATTGCCGCTAGGTAACACCTCCACGCCTTGAAGGCTATGACTATCGCTAAGGCTTACTTGTCATGGATGGGGTAGTTCA